GAGCATGTACAGTGTGAGTGTCATCACTCTGTTTCTGTTTGGAGAAAAATGACCTGTTGCAACCGTCCCTTGTTGCTACTGTCCCCGGTCTCCACTACCTAAAAAAATAAATTTAAATATATAATGTGTTTGTATTCAAGTGGATTTGGATTTTGCACACTTTGAAAAGGCATTGTCATTTTAAATAAAACCAGGAAGTGATTGTTTGTTCACTGTCACATTGTTTTATTTTGGATTTTGAGTCTTAGAGAGCAGAAATAAAACCAGACAAAACTAACAGCAATCAAGAAGTTTACACTTTATTTGTTTCAGTACCACAAATCAAGTCAACTAGTCACTTTCTATTGAAATGCCAAGTGTATTGCTCTTTCGCATTCCATGTGTAAACACCTGCTTGGTGATGTTGGCGATGAACCCTCTTCTTTCCACTTCCATGTTAATTCACAGCTTTACAGCAAAAAGCCATGTGCTTTGAAGATTACCCTCATATTTACTTACAAGAGCCAAGAATCAGCAGTGGCACAAAAACATGACCTGCAGAAGAAAAATCAGCAGAATCTTGGTAACAAAGCTGCGTTAGACACCTCAATCGAACCTTGTGCTACTTTTGAAATATACAGTAAGTGCCAAGAACAGGTGTGGTTCACAGACAGTTTTAAAACGCACTATGAAACCAGTGGTAATAAAAAGATTGATGCATAGAAACATGCTTCATAAGAAGGTATAAGAACACACCGTTAAGTTTCCAAAAAGGGCTGAAGCTGCTAGGACAAAAGCTACAGATCTGATGATTACCGAACAAACACGAGGAGGAATGATCCACATGTACAACCAGCGCAAGTACACTTATAGCAGGAGATCTGAAATATTCACAACTTGTATTTCAAAAAGGTGAAGAGTGAAAAACAATACTGGTTGAACAAAAAATAAATCAATCTTTGGATACGTAAAAAACCCTATACAATCCCCCCTTTGTTCCTCTCAGTCCTCCGAGGTTCCTTCTGAGGGGTCTTTGGTTTCTTTGTTCTTCCTCACCTCTTCCAACTTCTTGTCCTGATGGAGAGAAAATAAAGAGTTAATATTTGACAGCAGTAAGCGGTGCCGTTTGTAAAGTTACACAGTCAAAAATTACCACCAATATTTTTGTTTTGTTTAGCCTTTTATAAGAAAAAAAGAACAGATTTATTTTTCAAAGTCAGTTTTTCACATATGATTCATACATTTATAAATGTCGTAGTTTATAAACTAAATATTTAACTTACAAATTAAACATTTAGTTAACAAGCTAAATATTTAACTTGTGACCTAAATATTTAGTTTTGAGCTAAATATTTAGGTTGCAACTTAAATATTTAGCTAGCTAAGGTGGCTAGCTAAATATTTAACTTGACTTAAATATTTTATTTTGACCTAAATATTTAGGTTGTAACTTAAATATTTAGCTAGCCACCTTAAGCTAGCTAAATATTTAAGTTACAACCTAAATA